TGCAGATTTCGCGCGGTCTCTCGCGATTGCTGCTCCCTTTTTCACCTCCATCCTTCTCAAACACGATTCTCGCAGGGCATTCCCGATGAAAGACATGCAACAACGGTCCCCACTCACCGAAGGTGCCACATCTCACGCGCCGTGCCGCAGCGCCCCACGCCAGCGGAATGCACAATACTTTGTGGGCTGTGTTTTACGGATACACTGCTAGGGGCGCCACCTTCACCTTCAAACATCAACAGAGATGCAGTGTTTCGAGCCTGGCCGCCCGGCGCAGCGTACCGACCGATCGCTGACATCAGACACTGGCCGGCCACTCGTTCTGTCCTGGTGTCTCGGACACGCGTTACACATGCGCGAGATCCTCTCACACGGCGCTGGCACCGATCATGGACGGACGCGGGCCCTCTTGCCTTTCCCAGGCCTTACCCTTTCCCGCCCATACTTAACGGTGCGACGCCTTCTCTCTATTCCGATTTATTTCGCCTTCCCAGCAAACGGAATGTCGTTCAGCAGGTGCCGTTTGGTTAGGCCGTCTTCTCGAGAACGTTAGGTGACCATCCATGGACAGGGAGGTGCAGTGTATGTTGCGTGCCTGTTTCCACCGCGCAAGTCACGAGTCTCCAGTAAAGCCCAGACGGCCACTACGTCCCCTATTTCTGGATGCCCACTGGACCTCGAAGGAACGTGACGGTCGACCTGGTCGCTCCTTGCCACAAATCTAGCAGAATCACTGAATTGTCCAATGTGACATGGGCAGACAACGGCCCGGAGAAGCGTCCCGCAAGGACGCGGTGATCGGTGTCCTTCGCCACTTATTCGCCACGGAGTGTGCTTCTGAGCAGCCAGTCTCCGACAGCGAGCCACTGTCGCGACACGCGGAGGTGCCCCCTGCTCCGCTCCACCTTGTAACGTCACATCTGCAGCACGGCGACTGGCTAAACAGGCCGACGGAGGAGCCATCCTGTAAAACGAGACGCTGTCTCGGTCCGAAACAGTCTTTGTGGACGGTTCTTGCGGTCGCATTGGGGCCCTCATGCATTCTGGGATTGCGCCGCGCAGCGCTGCGCGAGGGCACAGCAAGAGCGAGACGATTCTCGGCGTCTTGTCGCCTCCCGACGTCTGGGAAAGCAGTTCGCGAGTCTGGACCGCTCGTGTGTTTTCAGGGTCTGGCACGGTCAATGGGGCCTTCATGGTCCGGCGCGGTCAACGGGTTGGGACTCCCCCAGGGTGGGAGGCTGGAGCCTCGTAAGGATACAGTGACCCCTGACCAATGGCCCGTTAGATAACGGATCTTACGCCGGTCTGCGCCCAGGTACGTGCAAAGTCGGTGAGTTACAGGAGGATCGAATTCGGTTTAATTTGTCTCACCGCAGTCCATGACGAGATATGTCTGTCCAGGTTCCCGTACGCACACCACCTACTGCTACAGAGGAGAGGGCTTTGCGACGTGATTACAGCCAAATGGACGCTGGTGGCCGCCGCACACCGAGCAAGCCCCAGCGGTCCGGTGCAGCTGGCAGTGCTGCTGGACCGCACTCGGATGCTGCTGGTCCGCACTCTGATGCTGCTCGTTTGCACTCCGGTGCAGTTGGTTTGCACTCACAGCTAGCACTCCAGTGAGCTGATCCGGCGCAACTGTATTGCTCACCAGGGAAAGGGGCATGAGCCATTGCGAGCATATTCAAAGAAAAGCCAGGAGCCACAGACGTCACTTAAACTGACGAAATGTGAATGTTCAGTCCCTGAATGGGATGGATGAATGTTCGTATCTATGTCCACATCAATAAAAGAAACATTACAGGTGGTACAACTTTTTCCAAAGTTATTTAAGTGGATGTTTTATTCGCCAAGACCACAATAAAAGTATGGGGCATGATTAAACAGCAAGGGAGACCTAGCAAAGCTACCTTCTCTAGCCCACGAGGTGACAGAAGCGTGATAATGCAAATAAACAGCTTTGGTCTTCTAATCATACTGTGCACAGCATCACACCTGCCAAATGAGCGACCTACAGCAGCGGGCGGCGGTCGTGCCGTCAGCTGTTGGTGTGGTCATTCCGTACCATGTCCCCTGATCTGCATTCAGGTATGCAACGGTATAGCACACACCCACACATACTACGTTGAGCCTCAGAAACTGGAGAATTTTACGCCTTGCAAGATTGCGATCGTGATAATCTCGCTGCATGTTCTATTTTGGCTATCTTTGTTGAAAGTCCCACACAAATATGAAACACAAGAGGTCTCGGCTTGCTGCGGCGTGCCAAGAGGCGACGCTGATGGCGTCGGTGGCTCCGCCGTCGACGGCTCCACGTTGACTCGCTTCTCGATAACACGAAGTGGATCTCATTTGAGACAGGCCACGCACGCAGAACTTTCATCACGGGGGGGGGGGGGGGAACGTCGAATTTTCTTCGGCAATGCTGCGACTCTGGGCAGAATCAGCGAAATCGCCCACTATATCGCGTAAAAAACTCATGGATCAGACGGACCATAGCCTCAATGTCGCACGTTAGCTATGTCCCAATGCTTAAAACTTGTGAGTTGTTTAATACTCATTGATCACTTAAACACATCGCTCATCCAACGCTGTTTCGCGCTCTTGGGACATCATATCTAGATTACTTAGTTGTGATAGCTCATGCTTGCTTTGCTGCGCAGAGATGGCGACGTTGGCGCAGATATAATAACGCGGCCTGCACCACATAACACTGATTCGCACCCAAATTATGCAAAGCATGTCTTTCAGTTCCCTTTCTGAACTTCCAGTGTGTGCATCAGTGGTCAGTCCATACCTGTGAGCATGCTATACTCATTGTTGCTCGAGATTTGCAGTTCCTTGACAGCTTGGCCATCACCCACCTGTTTCTCCCAACACACACCAAAATCTTTCCTGCAGAATACCAAAGTATCCACCCCTGCCCTCTCAACCATGTTTTGCACATTGATATTGTATGAGGGTTGTGATTTTATGATGAGGCTGTCCAAGGGTAAAACCTGCTGAGGTGGAAAGTTCATGCCAATCTGTGTTGCTGACAGTGTTGTGTGTCTGGCTGAAGAGATGTGGACAGACAGCTAAGACAAATGTACAGATGCAACATCCTTGAAAATAAGTAAATCAGACTTGTTTCAAAGAAAATACAGCGATCCACCAGGCACATACTGACCTGAATGGTAGATACAGGACACACTGTCAGATTCTGTTGAAAACATGTTTTCAGTCTGCTGGCTGCAGGTCCCATCAGTTGGTCCCATTCATCCCTGACCATGAATCAGATCAGGTACACCATGTGGTCCTGGAAGACCACCAACATCAGTAATCTACAGCACCCTGGCAACCAGACTTTGCAGGGATTATTTCACCAGTGCTAAAATGGGCTGTTGAGCTGCGGGAGCTAGACTTAAGTATATGGGAAGACCAACAAAAAATATCTGATTATATCTTAAATTTCTATAATTTTTATGCTTGCAGGCAACCAGTCTGAGCTCAATTAACTTTTTTATCATTACCATCATTCACATTTGTGCAGTTTGTTTACAAATGCAA